CCGACAAAATAAGACAAAAGCAGCACAAGACAAAGGCTCCAGGAGAGGAGAAATGGCAGCTCTGATACAGAGGGTGGAAGGACGAGGGAAAGACCTGTTACACTCTACTGCACCTGTTCTGATGACTGACTTTCTACTCATGGCAGACAGCTTCTTCCTCTGACACAGTGAGTTTTGCTAAAAGATTCAAAGCCTAAACTGTTACATAAACAGTACACACTGACAGCTCAGCTCATAACTTAAGCAAAGAGTTTCCTTTAAAAACCAGTTAGACTGCCCAAAATCAAATCTATAAGCATCTTGAATATTTAAGTTTTCAATCTTATTTGTAGTTTTTTGGTCAACATATAAATGCTAAGGATTTGCTTAGGTTACTAAAACACCTGCAGCTAAAACACTGTCACCAGTTCAGCAAGTCTAACCTTTTTTTGGAAATGGTCCCTCGGTGAAAGAGTAAACATTCCTTCATTAGAGGACAGGTTTATTATATAAACTTCAATGAGTCCACTGAAGTCTGTGGGACAAATTTCGGTATCTGTCCATTCTGCAGCCCAAAATGTGTAAGCACGGGTTTCTACGAACCAAAAGCACATGTTAACATGTACACAGACAGTGATGGCAGCGCGTATGCATGCAGCGGCCCGGGGCCCTCGGCTCCAAACAAAATTTTGTTGTACGTGTCACAATGACAATAAATAAAGCTTCTTCTTCTTCTTCTACAGCATGTGCATCCATGTCCACTGTGGAGGAGTATATCAGGGCCTTTAGAAACAAGATGACATCCAGACTTTAAACAGCACTGTACTACATCATAACGTGTGCATAAAACAGGGAGAAGGCCGTCTTAATAATGGCTCTGACCCAGGCAACTGTTGGGTAAAATTATTAACAAAGTCATACTGTAAGGAACCCAGAGCTCTGTAAGGTCCATTCAGTTATGATAATAAATGTTTGAAAGGTGATATTTGACTCCGATTATTCTTCATAAAAGAACACGCTGTACAACAGCTCTGGAACAGGCTAGTAAGAAGGCACATAGCACTGCACAACCTGCAGGATGAGGAGTCCTGAGAGCGCTCAGAAAAAAAAGAAGGTTTAAACATCTACACTCCCACGAAAACTGAACAAACTAATCTGCTAATAAAGATTGTGGTAAATGGTCAAATGCTCCAGAACACAGATTTTGAGCTAGTCGGCCTTGTTAGCAATAAATAATTAACTATTTATGAAATACGCCAACTAATGTGGCCTAGGTTCTCTGCAAATTAGATTAAACAAACACTAGTTACATGAATCATAAACTAAACAACACAAACCACAGAGACTACGCTCCTGTGTGTTGCTACAACAAAACAGCCAAAATCCACGTGGCACACAGCGCTGGACAACCTGCAGGCTTCATAAGAGAACAGACACTAGATCAGACTTAATGTGATGAAGATCAGTAAATCCTCTGTAATATTACTGTGCAAACATGAAACAGGCTACTGCAGTCTCCACAGAACAGACACCGGTTTTACTGGGTTTTTAATAATATAATACACATGCCTTATCTACATGATGGGAGTGACTTGTGTGTTGTCCAAGTGATAAATAATTAACCCTGCCCTATGAAAAATCCCTTTATTTTACAAGGACTGAATATATATGCTGTTTTCATACACATAGAACCTCCTGCGTCTGGTACCTGATATTTGTTATAATAAGACTGTGTGGCTCGATCACACACACACACACACACACACACACACACACACACACACAGATGAGTGATGATGTGTGACCAAACAACTCAACAGTACAAAGGGAATGATCTGACAGAAATCTCAGTCCAAGTCCGAACTGCTGATACAAACACAAAGTCACACTGTGCTCTAGTCCTTGTTGTTCCTTGTGCACATACTTCCTCTCTCTGCTGTTAATTACCTGTGTTTTACTGCCTCTACCTGACAGAGTAAAACCCTCTGAGGACAAACCTGGTTGTTAAACATCCCCCCATGGATAAAACTAAATGATGTTTCCTGCTGTGGGAAAATAAAGTGAGGGATGTTCGCAGCAGGTGGACGAGGACTGATGGAGCTGGGCTGGTTTGTGCTAGCACACAGAAAGTGGGTCAGTGTCACCTGCCTGGGAGGATGTCCATCCATCCTCACACACACCTCATATGCAAATGAGCCCCACAGTGGCGGAGAAATGGTGCGAGATGAGAGTCACGGCATCGTAACTAGGCCGAGTCCCAGCCATCTCTGCTGTTTAATCAGAAATCAGCTGATAGGAGCCACACTAGTCTGTCTCACAGGAACTGACAACTTACAAATGACACAAACACACAGCTGGGACGGTGGCCTCTTGAGCAGAGAGTTTACATAACATGACATGACTGAGTGACACATCCAGATGTGCACTGAGGGCCAAAGACAGAGGTCGACAGCACTACTGTGGCTGTTTTGGGTTATTTCCAGCATGAACACAGGCTGAATAAGTCACCGTGAACCAGGGTAAATTGAAATGAACAGAGCAACAGTGAGTCACCGCTCTACTGTGTTACGTAGCTCAGACAACTGTGCAGCTGTGTGGTCACTGAGCACATTCACTCAGGAGCTTCCCCCCCACTCTACTGTTTTGTAACAACACTCCAATTTAGATTCAGTTTTGTGTCTAAATCTGTTATCCTTCAAAAACACCAATTATTCAACAAGACCCGCTTCACACCATACTCCTTTCATTTTAGTCCTAATTTTCAGAAAGAAAAAACAATGAAATCAATTTTTTTATCAATACAAACTTAATGGAAATTATGAGTAGCAGCACTGCATGAAGATGCATCAACATTAACTTTTTAGACTATCAACAGCATCAACCTGTCTCACATTTGTGGCCCAGTACAACTTGTATTTACTCTTTTGTTGGTCATGACTTGGTATGCACCAACAGAGAGAATAAGATGGGAGGTGGTGTGGCCTTGTACATAGATAAAAACTTTTGTTATAAGAAAGTAGACAAAATGTCTAGGGTG